AAGTCTATATAGAAGACATAGTCATCTTTTCTAAGACTAAGGGCGAACATGCCGCATTAATCAGGTGAGTCCTTCAGAGACTCAACGAACAAAACTTCAAGATTAACGAGAATAAATGTCACTTCGCAATGAGCGAAATACAGCTCTTAGGCTATCGTATATCTTGGGAAGATATTAAAATCGATCCCGGTAAGGTAGAACAACTGTTAGGTTGGCGAACACCAACTACAGGAAGATATGTGAATAGCATGTGTGGGTTTGTAAACTTCTTTTCAGATGGAGTACCACACTTGGCTGATAATCTTAAACCTTTTAGACACTTAAGATGTCATAAAGTCAAACCACGAGACTTGAAAGAACGCAGTCTAACAAGCCCCTGTTGGAGTGCCTTTTGAAATAGCAACGGACGCATCAGACTTAGCACTCGGAGGTGTACTATACCAGGTTATAGATAATAAACCTAGGTATATACAGTTCTTTAGCCGAGCAATGAATGCATCACAATTGAATTATCCAACTGTGAAGAAAGAGTTACTAGCCACAGTAGCAGCTCTAACACACTTCCGCGATTACTTATACGGAACAGCTTCTACGCTGATGTGTGATCAGAAGTCCCTTCAATATATGAAGGAGATGAAGCCAGACTCTCAATTACTGAACCGAAAGCATGATACGATATCAAAGTTTCATTTCGATATCAAACATCTACCAGGGATACACAACCATTTACCGGATATGTTATCACGCTTCGTACCGGACTTTAATAAATGCGTACGTGAGTTACTAGCCACTGATTAGAAATGTAACCCCAGGGGGTTTGAACTGGCTCAAAAGATATTTGGGCCACATACAGTTGACATGTTTGCTGAACATCATAATGCACAACTTAAGAGTTACAGGACCTTAAATCATCCTTTAGGAGATGCCTTTCAACTAGACCTCTCCAAGCATAATGCGTGGGCTAATCCGGGGGGAGGGTCTCCCTCCTACACTTCCGAGTCGGAGTAAAGGTCCATGGCTCAATAAATCAATAAGCATGATACAATGCGAGCCAATATATTTAGATAGGAAAGTAGATACTTTCCTATATCAGGGTACCCGAGTCGTCCAGAAGACGCCCTGGAGACATACTATAATATATCGTATATGTCCCATTGGAACAACCAAATGGACCCCTTCTGAGACCTTCCTTAACAAGGTCAAAGAATCGGAGATCTTACTCTCCACTCTATTGAACGTTAAGCAGTTCAAAGGCAACACAGCACTTGAAGTCCGTGCACAAGAAATACAATCTACTAATGACACTGTTAAGAAGCTTCAGTCTATAACTAGGACTCTGTTTAATAACATAAAGTCCAAGCCCGAAGTCTTTCAAACCCTATTTTTAAAGGGATTATTGAAAGATAATCCCGAAGTGTATACACATATAATGCGACTATTAAATAAGTCAGGTATATCAAACGCACACGAGCGCACTCATGACACTCATGCGAAAGAAGGACAGGAGTCTGGAAACACTACAGACTTAGAGACCACGCAAGTGGATTCTCAACACCCTATCTTTATTCTGGAGGAGCAGAATGATGAAAACATTCTTGCTTGGCTGACGCAAAACCATAAGCTGAAGCACCAGAACGTAGTAGACGCACTTAAAGGGTTTTTAAATGGGATCGCGCCCCCTAAGCTGGCAACTTTAGTTGACAGAGTATATCAGTCAGGTACAGACTGTGATCTCAACCAGATTATGCGCTATGGGTTCGCAGTTCCATGGCGCAGGGTCATCATTGATCTGGTTGACCTGCCTACGTCCGAGCACACAGGCTACCGTTACGTATGCCACTTCTTTAATGTGGCGTCACGGTACAACTTGCTCTATCCTTTAAAGGACAAGAGTACACAGACCGTGGTATAATTATGTTGCCAAGTCTTTGCTGACCACGGGTGGCCAGGTATCATGTGCACTGATAACGGAATCGTTAGTAGGCAATGGTCTAGTCTTGGGTCCCGTCATCGTTGTAAAAAAAGAAGTAAATTAAGTTGCTTCTTAGTTGATTAATCATTTAAAGTACGTAGTATAATAAATACAGTAGTTCGGTCGCTTAAAAATGTAGTCAAAACCGAGTTGCGCTTAGTCAAGAGTGTTAAGTCTGAAATAAGTGAACTCAGTCAGAAGTACCGTTATGAACGGCGCGCCTGCTGTATTTATTAATCACGTTCCTATGTGGGACGAGATTTTCTCTAACAGAAGATTGTGAAAATCTCCGTATTTAAGATTATGGTTTCATAGTTGCTAAATATTGATGACGTCCGATGAGTCATCATTCTCTTTCACTAAATTATATATTCCTGCAGCTACTAGGGATCAGATTATCAAAAAAAAAAAAAGCCAATCCAAATCCCAAACCCCAGAATAATCAAATACTGAGTTTTGGAATTAGGATTGGAATATTTCTGATATTAGAGTCATCAGAAGTATTAGCGGTAGAACCGGTAAGCTATACCGGGACTCCCGCGTGTGAGAGAAACACTCAAGTAAATCCTGAGTCTAACTCAGTTCGGTTCTCTCAGACTAGGGACTTTTCCTAGCTGAGATAACCGTACTTAAGAAGGGTCTATTGTATCCTGTTGTCTCGTACC